ATATATTTTACAATATGCCATGACACAGAGATCCACGTCAAAGACTTCAAACTCATAGATAGATCTCCGCCTTTTATTATTTTGAACGTATGATACAATTTTGTTACGCCTTTTTAATTTTTTTGGATTTACAATACGAAGAAAAATGTTTTCTGTTGGTGTAAACACTGTTGTGACAAAGGAAGTGTGAAAACCACGCATATGAAGACGAATATTTAATCTAAACAGTGAGCAAGTGGGCTACAATTGTTGCGCATCGTTCAGAAAGATGAAATTTTTGAAAACCACTATAGTGACTCGTCGTCCTGAAGGATGATGTCCGCGAAAGCCACTATAGTGGCTCGTCGTACCTAAGAGGTTAAACTTCGATGACCAATTATAGTTATTCAAAAATATGAGTAATTATAATCATGTACATTGATAAACTCCTGATACTCTAACCTAACTTTTAAGACAATAATGAACCTCCTAATATTTTTACTTTTTACGTAATATTTCATTTTATACAAAAATCGTGTCTTTTTAGAAAATTCGCCTTTTTTAAGGAACTGTTTGTAATATAGATCATTAATTTTGATTACCGATTGATGTTCAGGAAAACAGGCTCTACGAGAATTACCTATCGGATATTACAGATTAGAGGAAAAGTTAAAATTTGTAGGACAGTGTAATTGATATCATCAAGCCGGTGGTAGCTGGAACCGGAAATTTCGTTAAATCACGAGATAATGGAACAACGATAATGGCCATTCGGAGGTAGGCGAGGAGCCGGCTTGATCATTACCACGAGCATCTCATTTATATCGAACGTCTGCTCTCGCCCAGCGTCTTATTAGTCATGCCCGAGGCGTTGCACCCCCAGAATGACTATAGGACAATCTTTCGTTTCCCTGCTTCGCAGTCACGCGTTTCTCCCCTTTGACTAAGCGATCCGGAAATGATGAATTCGCGAGCGTTATCGCGACCACGTTGCCGTTGTTTCCCCGGCCGTCTTCAACAAATAAGCCGTCCCGGGCCAGGATATTTCTCGGGGGTCCCGTAATCCTTGTTGCGAAGCTCCCTTCGTCGATTGCTGAACTTCTTATCGCGAAACGAGGAGACCATAAGACCGAAAATTGGACTTTCCGTTTGAATCATCTCCCCGTAAGCTCTGAGACGTCCTTCGAATTACATACCGTCTGGTTCACTCGTTAACTACGCGAGGCCACCCTTCTCTATGCTATTTCGAATTGGAAAGGGCCCCCGGCAAGGGTTCTTTATTATCCGTCCCTGAACATCGACCATTGACAAGCATAGTGCTGTCAGCTGCAGTCAACGTGAACGTTTCCTGTATATTATCTATCTTTCCTCATTAAACAGAGCATAGTGTCTGATAGCGAGTTAGCCTTATTTCGAAAATCTTGGTAGACGAAGAAATCAATACCCCTAAGGAGTACAGTAATCTATTCCACGTTTACCGGAATGATTTTACCTAAAATTCCACCTGACGCCGGTAGAGCATCAGCGTCTAGAGCGTTATAGACCTGCACGAAGCACGTGTCGAAGAAAAATCGCAAATAGCTCAGAAGATCGATCAGCTAGGACCTTATACTAGCCTTCATCGTGCATCGCAATATCCAAAACACCGTGGTGAAAATTCAAAAGCCAGGTCATGGTCTGTCACCCTACCCAACCCTAGCATCCATCACGACCCTTAAGCGACTATTAAAACTCCATCTGCATCTCGCCCCATAGTCGAGCAACATCAAACTTGACGTACTGTAAGAAGTATCACGAGAGCATCCTTCCGTCACGTGACGTCCCCTAGTCTTTTTCTCGGGGTTGCTTAGTCCACCCTCGGGGCACTTGGCGAAACGCGTGGCGGAAAGTTCGATACCTGGGTAACCAGACTGCGTGGCCAAGTGCAGACGCATCTTGCAGCTCAATTAAAGAAGTTTCGCACTTAGACTCGGCGCCGCGCCGCTGGCGGCGCCACCGGCGCTTGCGCGTGCTCGCCCGGGACCACGGACCGGAAATTATACACGTTAGCCGGCTTTTCTTCCCCTTTAATCTCGTTTCGCGAACGCACCGCGTCTCGTTCGTCCCGCAACGGTGTTGTTGTTCCACTCCTTCGTTAAATTAATTGCCGCGTCGCGCTTCCAACCGGGCAGAATGGCTCGCCGCAAAATGGCTGTCCCACGAGCAACGACTCTGTAAACCGAGAACCGACGTGTCTCCGTCGTGTTTTTTTCTCTCTCTCTCTCACTCTCTCTTTCCATCTCTCTGTTCACTTTTTTTCCGAGCCAGTTTCATTTGACACAGTTTCAATTTTCGTAACGCATACAGGTTACGTCAGCCGCGAATTCGCGTCACACGCGGATGAGAGCAGGATGAACAGATGTTGGCGGTTTTTTCGCCGAATCGGTATGCGACACTGGCGATTGCTATGAGAATCAATTGTTCAGAACAGCGGCTGTTTTTTCTGCTTCCCTCTGGCGTGTCACGTGTTTGCTTGTTGTTTCGCCAAGCTTCCAACGGTCGCGCGCTGTTTTTCGAATAGATGAATAGGTAATGGATTAATCCTTCGCTCCGGAAAGGTGACTCTCTGTTGCTGTTCGATTCCGTCCGGTAAATTGAACTCTCGTGCACCACTCTCGGGGAAAATTCAAGGACGGGTTTGGGGATGGATCGTTAAGCGTCTACGGTTTAGTCCGGGTCTTTTGGCAATTTTTTCCGAGATTCCAATATAGTTGGAACGGAGAAGAGAAAATGACAGGAAATTGTAATTATATTCATTTTGGCTTCGAAGTTCTGAGAAATAGATTTTCTAAATAATTTTAATAAAATTCGCGGAGGTCGTAATTTTTATCGGTAATTGACTATATTACATTTGGAAAATAGTTTAATTGATTAAAAACTTCCACCTTCATTTTGGAAAAGAGATTTACTATACTCTTTGTAAATTTCGAAATCATAATGTCCCGATGGAATTAATTAAATTCAGAAATGGGAAATATATAGAATCGAGATAGTCCCATTTTTCAGTGTATTTAACAATTTTTAAATATGATTTAATTTTATTAACCCCTTGCACTCGGTGAATTTTTCATTGTAGAAGAATAGTAATTTCGAAAATTTTCTGCCATAAGGTCGACGATATTTATAGAACGGTAAATGAGAAATCGTATGCAAAATAAGACGCAGAATTATTTT